GGGGCGCTGACATCCAGGGCAGGGGAGCGTGGCCGTGTGCGTCACTGCCCCCCCCTTCCCTTCCCGCCGTGGTGCTCAGCTGAGTGCTGTGCACTCAGCTGGGCCGCTGTGGGGGAGCTCATCGCCCCCCGCAGTGGTCTGGCTGAGCACACAGCACTTAGCTGAGTGCTGGGGGCAGTGACGTACACGGCCATGCCCCCTGGCCGTGTACGTCAGCGTTAGTCTCACAGACACTGAGCTACAATATTTCAATATAGAATTTCACTTTCATTAACAGAAAATTACTGCCTGTATGACATATATTAATGTCCTACACTAAAACAAGAAAAAATTATATATCTGCACATTATGAATGACTAAATATTTCTTATCAACTGGGTTTGAAGAAAAATCTAATAAAACTGACAAAACTGTATGTATAATCCACAATATTTTCTTGATACTAAAAAATAAAAGTCTGTAACTGCAACACAAGATGCATGCCTTAAATTTTCCTAATTTCAACTGTAAATACTGTGACTGCACGTGCAGATAGGATAGTGCACCTTACATGAGTCATTTACATATATGGACAACATATTTTCACGAACAACTGTAGTGATGGTGGATGCATTTTGTGTATGCAGAAAATCAGATGGTACTTAGGTAAAAGCAGTGTTGGTGTTTTCACTGATCTTATCCAATTTGGATAAGCGGGGACAATAGACCCACTTTTACTTCAGTTGTGAAGAATTGTGAAACTTCTGGTCCTGGTTTAGTTTATTTAAATAATAATAAATTGACATTTTAAACAACAGGCTTACAATATTTTACATTTTTTTCAAAGGCATGGAGGAAGGAATGGAACCATAGGGAATGAGAGGAACTGCTGATGTACATCAGATTTCATAATTCCATCGCATTTTCCTAGGGCAGCGGAAACAAAGAAAAGGAAGAAAAATGAATATCTGGGAAGGACTGGGGATGGAAAAGAGAGGAGACAGATTCTACCAAATTAGAAGCCTTTCCACAGGATATGTATAAAAAAGAGGGGAAAATAGAGGAGACAGAAAAAGAGAGCCTAATTGAGTTCAGAACAGTACTCATCATGCCAAACAACAATCCACTAGTTATTAACACTTGGTATGTTCTCTCACTGAAAATAACCTTATTTCTGTCTCTATAAAAGCTATAAGAGGGGAATTTAGGAAGTGAATTTAGATAGTTGACAGATGCACCTTACATGGAAATGGTATTAGAAAGGCACATCTCAAGAACTGACTTGCTTTTAGCTGCAGCATCATACCTGGTGAACCTGCGCCAGTTCCATATCTAGTCTAGCAGTCCGCTTAATAAACCCTTCTTTAGTAGTGATGGCCTTGGGTTTCGGAGCTTTGGTCTGGGGCTGAGTTACAGAGTCTGGGAGAGATGCCTCCAGTTCCAGCAACCCTAGAACAGGTGGAGTGGAGTTTGGGACAGAGTGGAAGAAAAGAGAAATATCTGAATTGCTGTACAGGCTAGCACTAATCATTTTAGTCAATCACATATAATTTAAGATTTTCCAAGCTGCCTTACCCTCATAGGTGTTAAGAAAGCGGTTTTTTACTAAATAACGTTCAGAATGGTTGTCCGGAAAGTAACCAATTCTAGACAGAGGTCCATAAGGCTGCGATGCATAATCGGTATAGTCCCTGATGATATCTCGTCTCTCAAACTTCCCCTCCACATTCTTCCCCTTAGTTATCAGCTTTCTCATTGCTGAAAAGGAATTGCAACCATGAGATATTCCCTGACATACACAGTTCTGAAAGAAACTGTAATTTCATATCCTAAGAAATTCAGTCAGGTTGCCCTTCCTCTAGTAAGAAATGTGGCCAACAGACCAAATATGACCCATGGAATTCTATCTAGGCTGTGATAGGAATTCTATCTAGGCTGTCCTCATTTTGAATACAGAGTTGCAGAGTAGTAAAAATGGAATGGAGAGAGTTGGTTTGGTATGGAAACTAAGTTCCCCTTTTACTGTTTTCCTCATCCTCCAAATTACCTTTTATATATTCATGTTTAATTTTTTGTACTCTCTCTTCTTTATCTCGCTGACGGTTAAACCAGTGAGCATCCAAGCGATTGATATCCACCTCATTCTGATCCTCTTCTCGTCTCCTCAAAAGCTTCTTTAAAACTTCTAGTCGAACATCTTGCAATCTGCAAGAAAATAAAAGGCAAGGTATAAATTGAGACACTTACAGAGTTCCCGAACCGCAATGTTGTATATAAACCCAAATTACCAACTACTGGCCTATCTGTAAAATGCAGCCAGACTGCAAAACTAACATTTTCGTCTTTTTTCGTTTTTAAAAAGTGAGTTTATCACTGTTGCAAGGTGTTGAGTAATAACCTCTTTCACAAAAAACTCCCCCAAAATTAATGTACTTCAATTCCAGTGTGGCAGCTCCATGCCCATTCAGAATGTTATCTCTTCTGAATACACCAACAAGGGTGCCATTTGTAGGGGTGGTTTTTTGGATGAACAGAGGATTTGGACTCAAATTACAAAAAAGTGATGACCATCAGCCACTAATGGACAGGTGACCAAGAGATAAAAGTCCATGCATCCTACTGCCAAACCCCTGACCTATTTGTTTCCAAACTCAATTTTGTTTCTTATAACTGAAGGAGCAACACTGTATACAATTCACACCTACTTTTCTATTTCCTGTTCTCTAAAGGCCCATTCCTTCCTCTCCATATCATCCATCATCTTCCTTCTCTTTTCAATTTGTGAGAAATCACTAAGTGGTGGAAGCGTTGCTTCCCAGGCACGTTTCTCCCGGGCACGTTCAATCATCTCCACCTCAGCTTGGCCTGCTGGAAGACCTCTTCCTTACAAGGACAAGAAGCATTAGTTCTTTAGAAAGACTATTGGGCAGGATAATATCCATTAGTAAGTGTAATATCCATTACTAAGATATTAGTAATTAGTAAGTGTAATATCCATTACTAAGATATTAGCAAAAGAAAAAACCCTTCAGTAAATAGAGACAAACACTTGAAAATGGAGGTTAACAATTCTGAGGCACCACTGCAGAGTTGTTTTGAAAATGTAAGAGTAGCATCTGCAGTTATCATAGTTAAGACAGTATTAAAAATGTGGTTGTTATTCCTACTGCTCCATGGTAGAAAGAGATCAGTTTAAGGGATGGGAGTAGTTAGACTTTTTATTTCTGTGAAAAACAGCACTATACATTTAGATGCATTTTGAGGATAGACACCTTCCTTTGAAGCATCTAGCATTCACATCTGTTGAAGGCAAGTGGCACTTATAGTAGTGGAAAAAAATGAAAATCATATTAAGAATCATAATAATTTGCACTTACAAAATCTATTGCCAGTTAATGAAAAGATCTCAAAACACCATATGAAATGCTTCACAATTGGCTATTACATAGGTAAACAATACTATAGCCATTTTAAAGCCAGATAAACTGATATACCCCAATGAAACTCAGCAGTGTAATGTCAAAGCTGACAGAACTATCTGACAGAGAAAAACAGCAATTTGGCAATTCTCAACAGGAGCAAGCACTAAAATAAACGTTTCTGGTTCTTCCAACTCACCCCAAGTGAGAGTAGCAAGTGTCAACAGTTCAGGGATTGAACCCAGAGGTACTACATATTCTGGGGAATACGGGTCCGTCTGAGCTTCACCATCCCGGTAATCTGTCTGTGTACCCAGAGTTCGTGATGTGGGGGATCGTGATCTGTCACTGGTGATGGATGGGTAAACATATGGCTCTGTTCTAAAAAACAAACATGAGCCAAAACATGTATTTTGTACATGCTGTTGCATTTAAAAACTTAAGATACTATTAGTTACAGATGTGTCTGTTCCCATTGAAATCAATGGAGTTGACTTCCGTGAGAGCAGTTAGGCTTCTGATGAGAGCTTCTGAAAATCCCTCCCTATGTGAACATAAACTATGAACCTTTCACATCAAGAAACCATTATATCGAAATCTCTAATACATATGTATACTACAGCTCTGCATTTATGGATAAAGAGCCAAATGTAGCCTGACATAAGTATCTGCAATTTGATGGAAGTATCTGGGCCAAATTCAACAGTGAGATAAACAATTATATATGTTTCATGTCAGGTGTAAGTGGCAAAGTACTATAATTTGTACTGATCTAGGTTTCAGTGCGTGTGCAAAATAAATTGACTGGAAAGGGGTGTAGCTTGAAAAGCAACTATCAGAACAATACAAGATACAGCATGACTGATATATTTTAACTTATACATGTACCATTTTGACATACACAGGAAATAATTAAATTATTCCATTAGTAGAACTCCAGAAACTTCACTGAGTGTTGTATTTGTTTGTTATGCCTGAATTTGGTCTCCCAGGAATAGCATGGATATCCTATTATAATAAGGATGTTGCATGCAGATAAACAATATTGCAATACCATTAAATAAAATCAGTAACAAACATCTCAAAGTGTGACTATATCAGATACTTCCTCTCCTCTAAGAGTCAGACACTTGGCTCTTGGTTTCTTCATCATGGTCACAACATGCTTTGAGGAATTAATATATCAGGTTCCTAGTCATGTGATACTACTTATATATCCCAAGCAATGTCTGAAACAAGCTGCAACAATATGTCCCTAACTTGTGCTTTCTGGGATTTCATGCTGGTGGACAGATTCTTTCTGAACTTTAATGAGTTCTCATTATTTTTTCATTATTAAAAATAGTCTCTTGTAACAGAGCTAAACAGTCATTTGTGGCTAGAGACTGACATGTTGTAACAGTGTTTTCCTAAACTTCACTACTTACTTTGCCACTGCATAAGCAACGTTTAATGGAAATGGCTTATGAAAGGGGATGAAAGGTCTGCAAAGAGAGAAAATACGTTATCTTTGAGAGCAAGATGCATATTAATAGAATACAAGAGCTTAGCAAAACTGTAAATCAGATTCTTGGATGTTGTAAAACAATGTAGTTCCACTCACTTCATTGCTGATTTACAACAGCTGAGGATCTATTTCTGCATGTTTAAGGACATATGTTATTTAGGAGTTTCTTTAATTTCTTACAAAACTCTGTTGTTACTTCTTAAGCAACATGTGAGAATTGTTGTTCTACCCAAGCAGAAAAATCCCTCCTCATTCAAACAAGCCCATTTTGCTTTTCATTTACACAACTTCCTGTGCAGGCCCAACCCCATTCATTTAATTTACACTGAAGTCAAAAGAGGAGAATCAGAACCAACATTTTTAATGGCTTATATATATTAGTTAGGACTGAGAAAGACAATATGGAGACTGGTTGGCTCAGACATGGATCTACTACTATACTGCCCTACTATATATTTTTCTCTCTCACTCCCAAAGAATCCACTTGCCCTGAAAACCTTCATATAATATGAGGTACATGTTATGATATAGTCCAAGTCACATTCATTATTGATAAAGTTATATGCTGGTTTATTGTGATGTTCAATATTTCTCCCACAAGTCTTACTTCTCTAGCTCACTCACGTTTCTAGCTCTTTTTTCCCTTTCTACATTATCCCAGAAATTAGAACTTCAGCACACCTATCTGGCCATCTTGTCCTACTACCACAGATTAGTGCCTGAACAGTTTACTGGCCTACTTTAGTAACCAATGTCTCCGAAATTTTTAGCATTAGAGACTAACACTTGAATTCTTTGGCAGATAGAATTCCAAGCCACTTTTATGTGGCAGAAATCTGTTGTGAGTGCTAAAAGCTGTCAAGACAGCCTCTGCTAAAATCAAGTTGTAATTCAAGTTGGGGTTGAACAGCAAGAGAGTTTCCAGAATAAGGATAGTAATGTGTGTACTCTCAGCATTGAGTGTATGTTAGGATATCTTTAAACCCTGTGTGAATCCAAAAGTGGAATCCTAGAACATAAATCAACTTTTAAGGTAAACCACATTTAAAGTATCTAATGATTCCTTCCTTCAGTGTAGTAAGATAGTTTTAAACTGAAATGCCACTGAAGTCCTAAGCATTACTATTATGAATAATTCCTTCTCGGAAACATAGAATAGGAATTTCCATGTCAGAAGAAACCAATATTCACATGGCTTCCATAATAGCTTTTGAAAGTTTAAATTAAAACTGTGGCAGTGAACAAGCCAGTCTGTGTATTTCTGTTGCTAAAATAACCCTACGCATGTTTGATTCATTTTTACCAAATTAGCAAAATGTAAGAAATTTTGGAAAACTAAAAGGGGCTAAGTTTATTCATAGCATAACATGGCAAATGCAATTATGCCTGTATACATCAGCAATGAATTTGTGCCAAGGTATCTGTGTGGCTAAATTGAGAACTCTTGTATTGTGGCTTTTAGCTTTTGTTTCAAGCCCAACAATAAAGCAGAAGAGCAATGCCAGAGCTGCAATGTAATTCTAAAGGGTGGTATGGTTCTGAAAAGGAGTTGTTCCTCTGACGGAAAGTTAAATTGATATTCCCTCTACTTGTCTCAGTGGTAGGTAGCAAAACTGAAGTTAAAAATCCTTTCTCTTCCCTCCCCCCCCCCATTCTCAAGAGATTAGAAAACCATAATAGCTGGGCCAGCATCTCTCCCTCAGTACGACAGGGTCCAATACTCAAGGCAATATGTGAGCAACTGCTAAACACTGACTGACTGTTGCACTCGCTTACACAAGTTAAGTATTTAATTTTTTCAGCACTCAGTCATGCAACGAGTTAGATTCTAATCTCAATGGCACCAGTGTAAAATCCAGAGCAACTCCTCTGATGTTTTTACACCAGTGTCAGAAGCAGAATGACTGAGACAGGAATTTGGCCTATTACATATATGGTAGTCATTAATTCATTCTGTACCGTTCAAAATACTTGTAGCGGTTCCTTCCATTAATTTCAGGATCTTCATACACAATCTGAGGAATCTGAAGAGAAGGTTGAGATCTAAAAAGCCAAAAAAGATCAAAACAGATCAAAATATTTTCAGAAAGACTGTTCAAAGTTGTTTTGATATTTAAAAAAATATGCTTTTTAAAAACTTTACTTCATTCTGGACTTCCACTATTGCATAATCAAAGCATACACACCTCAAATTCTATTATGAAGTAGCAACAAACATGCCTACCTACATAAGGAAGTTCAAGATTATGCATTTATATTATTCTATAGCCTCTCATATAGTACTGCAGCTCTAAACTTAATGGAAGTTTCACACTATGCACAGACAAAAATCATTTATTATTTCTGTTAAAACAAAATTCAGTTAAACTCATCTGGAAACTATTCCTCAGTGAAGTTTAACCACCTGGAAAGTATGAACTTGTGAAATTCAGCTATTTGTATCTGTATGTGTGGGCATGCAAAAGAATATTAATATATTTGTATAGCACAAAATACAAGGGAGGAGATGCAGAAAATGAAGGGGAAGAGACACTGTCTCACTCAAAAATGGTTAAAAAGATTTTGATCAACTTTGGAAATTACAGGAGAGGCTTTAAAGCCTTTTTTCGGCATTCTCCAACACTAAAGAACAATTAAGATGACCTTGTGGAGGGTTTAAGGAGTTCACTGTCTGGAATTCAGCCTCTATATAAACAACCAGTACACTCTCTCTCTCTCTCTCTCTCATATTTCCTATCCTGGAGAACCCAACATTGAGTTTGAAGTAGGGCAACAGACTGTCTATAATTTCCGGCTCATGTCTTCTTAGAGGTTGTACATTGTCCAAAGACCTCAAGAAATCATGAATAAAAGAGGATACAGACAGGAAACAGAGTTCCCTGAAAAACCACATGCCACATCACCAGCTAAGAACCCCGAGTAAGTCATTCCATACTTTCAGAAAGTCACACTTTGCCCTATTTAAGACCATTTTTGGTAACATACCTGAAGCCAGTTTGTTGTTTTAAATCCAGAGGTGTGGCTTATAGAGATATAGATACCAGCAGGAAATGTGGTTTGACTATTGGATTGAAACAGAGCACTACCTGTTGTATTCTGTTGAGTCCAAAAATCTCACAGGCTCAAGAGATGCACTCTTTAGCCTACCACTTCCACAACTGTTCAGAGTAAGGCTTCACCAGCCTTCTCTAGTATGCAATACATTACATTGTTTTAAATCATCCTTTCCCAGCACCTGCTCCAATGCAACATAACAAAATAAGGCCAAGATGCTAGAATCTGAATCTAAAATTATTTCTTGGCGCTGACCAATCTTTAATTGTAAAATTTTGCTTGCAGTTCAAATGAGTTATTTGAGTTGATGGCTTTTCTATTGGCATTGTTTCCACGTGTCAGAGTACTGCTCCATCCAGATGGATTCTTATTTTTATCGGCACAGGTGGGCACTTATTTTTGTGATTTAACAGTGTTAGCATAAGCTACTTATTTCATTATAGTATAGTGATAGCCATAATAGGGATTGGGCACATAGCCCTTTCTTAGTCCACAGATTTACCCCCTGGGTATCCTTGCATGTTCAGCTACATCTGCTAAATTTGCTGATACAGATAAGCATTTGGTCCTGTTAGTCCTACAAAATTCAGCACAGCTATTGGTGAGCAATCTGGGTTACATTCTGTCTCTTGTCAGCAATGCTGTCAACTAGAGGTGACATAAGGAGGATGGACATTTTTCATTAATTTCTTTAATGTTTTGTTAAAAAAAAAAGCTGTTCAAATCTCAACAAATTTCAAGCAGTTCTACTATCAATTAAGCCAGTATTGCAAAATTACTACTAATGGACGTATAAGAGGCAGAACCTCCCCCCAGATTTTCATGTCCTGAGTGCAGTTTGAGGTTTTGAAAGTAAAAATCAAAACAAAACCAGGCACCATTTAGTCTGTAAAATGAGGAAATAAGTATGGAACTTATTCTTAAACAAGACTAAGTATGGGTACGTCTACACTACAACGTTAATTCGAACTAACTTAGTTCGAATTAGTTAATTCGAACTAAGCCAATTCGAACTAACGGATCTAGACTAAAAAACTAGTTCGAATTAGCGTTTTGCTAATTCGAACTAGCTGATTGGACACAGGGGGGCATTTAAGGGCAGCTGAAACCGGTTCTGGCAGGGCATCAGGTCAGTAGTTGCTTTGTGTGGCTGCTGTCTGAGGCTATCTGAGGCTCGTGCTTAAAGGGACCCCCCTGGACAGCCGGTTCTCAGCTTTTCCTGCTTGCTTGCCAACCTCGCCGAGGGACAGCAAAGCGTCGGTCTCTGTGCCCGTCTGTGTC